AAGGTAATGGTTGGATGTTTCAGATGGAAAGGTAATGGTTGGATGTTTCAGATGGAAAGGTAATGGTTGGATGTTTCAGATGGAAATGTAATGGTTGGATGTTTCAGATGGCTCTCTAATGCAGCCTGAAGGAGAAAGACACATTTTACATAGTAACATTTTAACCACTGTTATAAAAAACCTGTGCACAAACAATTGCTTTAAAAAAATAACTTTGTACCAGCTTTGCTTTGCTTAAATTTAAATAAGTTATTAGCTTTTGTGAAGTCAGCTAACAAAAAATAGAGCAGCTATGTCAAGTTTACTTTTTAATCTAGTCCTCAGGTCACACTTTATGATTAGTTAAAGACAAAAACCTCTGCTGTTCATTGGTTTATAATAAAAACACCTTTAACTGTGTGTGAAGACGTCTCTCTTTGGCGTTTTGGCTCTAATCATCATCAGTATCAGAATCAGTGCAGACGCTTTGGTCAAACAGGAGGACCTGGCTCGTCATGATCCAGCCAATTACAACTAAAGAATGAACATTTTCTGTGAAAATGCTCAGAGACTAGTGAAATTAACTGACAACATTAAAACCAAGTTGTTAAAGCTAAGAGAAATAAAAGATTAGCTAAAAGCTAAATGTAGAAAAAGACTTTTCATGAATAAAATTTTAGATTTGTTTCATCTGATGTGATGAAGACCGTTGAATATTTTCTGTAAACCCAGATCCTGTGAGTGTCGGTGCACTCGTATGTCTCCATACGTTTGTCATCTCACAGACCAGCATCATGTTTGGTATTCTCAACCCCGTGTGTCGAGTCATGGCATAAATACACTATCACATAAATTATTCAGAGTTGTTTCTCCTCAGTGCTGACTCCAGTTTTTGTTTCATATTTTGGGTTATTAGCTGAATTGTTAATTATTTTTGTAAATTACTTTATAAATACAATCGTAAATGTTTTGAAAAACAAATTGTTTTGTCTTAATGAATAATTTGTATTCACAAAGAAATGCTGCATTTCACTTCAGTTCCACTAGATGGCGCTGTGACCCCACAACACTGTGAAACTAAAGTAGGCTTGTGTACTTGGTCCCTGTCAAATATTTATATTTTGTGTTTCATCTGTGTATTAAACTTTTCTTTTCTGGATTCCTGTTGAGTCCTTGGTGTTTTTTAGAGTTTTTGTTTGGATATGGCTTCAGTGGGTGAAAAGTAGACATTGGGTTTTTACTGTTTGAGCTGAATCAGTGTGTAAACTTATCATTGTTTTTATTATTTTATCATAAAGAGTCAGAAAATAGTTGGTAGTATGGACCAAGTTTATACTGCTTTATATTTCAAAAATTTGACTGGAATTTTGATATGGTTTGAAAACATATTTATAATTTCTCATCACTCTGAGACATGTTAATGAATAATTAAAATGTACTGAGATAATTGTGATGCTGTTAAGAGCAGAAAGTTTGGTGAAACTCCCTCTAATATGCTGCACAGAAAAATATGTTTTGTCGTAAGATATTTTTCCTTACACCTGTGTCTTCCCTCCTTTTTCTCTTGTCTTTTTCAGGTCCATTTATGATGACCAGCCCAATGCTCACAAGCGCTTCATGGAAAAGCTGGATGCCAGGATAAGGAACCATGACCGTGAGATTGAAAAAATGTGCAACTTTCACCACCAGGGCTTTGTGGACGCTATCACAGAGCTGCTTAAAGTTCGTGCTGATGCAGAGAAACTTATGGTAGGTGCAATAATCAAACTGAGGCCGATCTAAACACTGATTTCACAGTTTCAAAGGATATTTGCTTTTCAAAATGTGCTCCGTTTTAATCATCTTCATCAGTACATGACACACTCCTGGTCAAGCCTTTTTGAACACCTTTCCAGGGCACTAAACTAACTTTTTGCACTGGTTGCACTGGTTGCACCGGTGCGCCTAACATTTTTTCTTAGGTGCACCAGCACAAAAGTTAGGTGCAGCCAAATTTTCAACCACGTCGCCTAACATCAGAGTTTTACAGGTTATTTTTAAATCACTGATCATTAAGGCAACATTAACTGGAAAATAATTAGTTAACAATCTAGTAAACATAAAGTTCTTTATTTGAACCAGAATTGCAAGTATTTAAAGTGATTCTATCAAATTCTAAGTGCAAATGTTAAAGAGCCGAACGTCTTATAAACATCTTAAACATTTCATGGTTAAATGTTTTTTAGACACCTGCCCCTCAGATGGACAACTCCTGTAGTTTGACCCTCTGGATCTTTGGCCTTGGATAAACCAGAATGATGACCAGAGGAATGATTAATAACAGAAATATTACTGATATTTATTAAAAAGTTGTGCAGATTTTTTTTAAATAATAACACATAAAAGTCTGCAATTTCATCATTAGTTGAATCTTATTATCTTATATTATTTCACTTAAATATCTAATATGTCTAGTTTT